AGTGCCCCAACCATGGAATGAAAAAGTTTCCTGTCACTCTCACCCACCACCTCCTCATCAGCACAGGGCTCCACAATGAACCCCGAAGGCAGTGGGGTGGCTGGCTTTCCTCCATCTTGCAGCCCATACTTCTCAGCCAGCCCCTCACAGTACTTTCTCTGGTGCAACCTCAACACTCCCTTGTCAAGGTCCCTCTCCACATGCATCCCTAAATAGTACTTCACATCTCCCATCTTGGAGCACTTGAACTGCATCTCCAGCATTTCCTCCACATGCTCAATCATTGCAGACGACTCAGAGAAGAGCAGGATGTCGTCCACATACACCAGGAGCATGAGAAACTGCTCCTTCTCCTGCAGCAGGAACAAGCTGTGATCACACTCACTCTTCTTGAAACCCCCAGCCAGCAGAGTCTCCTCTAACTTGTGGTACCATGCACGAGGAGCCTGCTTTAGGCCATAGATGGCCTTCTTCAGCCTGCACACCCTGCCGCTCCCATCATCCAAACCCTCAGGCTGTAACATGTACAGCTCCTCCAGAATGATCCCATTGAGGAAGGCGGTGGTGATGTCCATCTGCTTCACCTGCCATCCACGGTTTGCTGCCATTGCCAATGACACCCGAAGTGTTGTGCCTTTCCCCACAGGAGCATAGAGCTCGTTGAAGTCCTTTCCCTTTGTCTGCTGAAACCCCTTAGCCACAAGCCTTGACTTGTAGCGGGTCAGCGCCCCATCAGGTCCGTACTTGTGCCTGAAAATCAGCTTGGAAGAAATGGCCTTCTTCCCGGGTGGCAGCTCACACAGATCCCACGTCTCATTCTCTAGCAGAGAATCATACTCCTCCTTCACACTCTGCTTCCACTTTTCAGCATCGGGCCCGCTCAATGCCTCAGCTAGCGTCTTGGGCTCAGGGACGGCTGCCCAGTAGCAGTGTGCTATCTCATCCTCATCACACTGCTCAGCCACACTCCCAGCCCTCACCACCTTTGGCTTGCCACGGCTTGCATAGGTCAGCCTGTTAGGAGGGCGCACATCCCTCCTAGGACGGTCAGCCGTACGTCCGGCACCTTGTGGAGCACCTTGCTCCTCCTGCTGCTGCTGCTGCTGCTCCACCTCAGGTTCTCCCCCATCATCAGTCACCCCAGAGATCTCCTCCTTGGAGACAAAAACCTCCACCTTCCTCGAAGGGCGCTGCACCTCATCGGCCTCGACAATTAGCGGTGTCGTAGGAAGCTTCTGCTGCTGCTGCTGCTGCTTCCACTCTTTGTAGTACAAGGACTCAAGGAACTTCACATCCCTTGACACAGTCAGCTGCTGGCTGGTCAAGTCCCAAATCAGCCAGCCCTTGTGATCCTTAGCAAGCCCCAAGTGCACATCCCATCTCCCAGAAGCTTCCAGTTTTCCCCTCTTCTCCTTAGGCACATGAAACACCACCATGCAGCCATAAGTTCTCAGCATGTTGACTGCAGGCGCACTCCCATACCACTTGGTGTAGGGGACCCATTGCTTGTCCCCCACAGTCGCCAGCACCCGGTTCTTCACAACAACGACCTGCCGCAGTGCTATCACCCAAAACGGATCCGGCAGCCCTGCACGCCCAAGGAGAGTGCGAGCACCTTCCTGCAGGGTCCGGTTGAACCGCTCAGCCACGCCATTCTGCTGAGGGTTGTAAGGCACTGTGAGCTGATGCTGGATCCCCTTCCGCTTCAGCTCCTTCTCAAAATCAGCGCCGATGAACTCTCCTCCGTTGTCAGTGCGGATCACCTTCACCTTGTGTCCGCTCTCCCTTTGTGCTCTCGGCATCCACTCCTTAAGAACAGCCGCTGCCACCTCCCCCTTAGTCTTGAGAGGGTACACCCACACCGCACGTGTGTGGTCGTCCACAATTGTCAAGAAGTAGCGGCTGCCCGAGAGAGAAAGGGCCCTCGTGGGGCCCACCACATCCATGTGTACTAGTGCAAGTGGTGCCTTGGCTGGTCCTGTGCTGCTGCTGAAGGGAAACTTCGTGAATTTGGTCTCAAGGCAGGTAGGGCAGCTCCCAATCTCCTTTGCTCCCCCCTTCACCTCCAGCCCCTTCAAGCACCCATCCTTAACCAACTTCTGCAGCATAGGAATGTTCACATGGCACAGCCTCTCATGCCACGTCTCCCAATCAGCCTCACCACTCCCAGATGAAGCCTTTGCCCATGCAGCTGTCGCATCCACACCAGCAAGCACCTCACCATGTGGCTGTTGTGGCTGCTGTACCTTCTTGACTGCATCTATGGCCGCAGCAGTTGGTGCAGACTCCTCTCCTCCCGCAGTTGCTTTAGCCGCTCCCGCTGCCTTTGCTGTTGCTGGTGGTTTCCCCTTCCAAGGGATGATGGGCAGCTGCCACAGGTCCTTGATGCAGCTGCTCTTCTCCTCCAAGTTCCACAGCAGCATCTTCCCAAGCTTTGCACGGCAGCTGGTTGGGCCGAAGGTAACTTCAGCCTTGCTCTTCTGCAGCCGGCGCACAGAAAGAAGGTTAGCGGACAAACCTTCAACCAACAGCACATTCCCAAGCCCCACAAGCTCTCCATTGGCTCCCATCACCTTAGCATTCCCAACACCAATCACAGGGAGCAAAGCACCTGAAGCGGCAGCCACAAACTTGATCTTCCCAGGAGGTTTTACCTCATCAAGCAAATCTGCCCGTGGGGTCATATGACTCGTGCAACCTGAATCAATCACCCAGTGAGTGAGGGGGTGCATCACAACCTTCCCAGCTGAACCCACATCACCCCCACTCCCTTGCACATCCTCAACCATGAGGAACATCCCAGGGTCGGCTTTACCTTGTGCACCATCACCTTGTGCACCTGATCCTTGCACAGCGCCACCGCGTGCACGTTCACCACTTGGCGGCTTCATGCCTGGAGGGGCCCATCCCTCAGGCCGGCTGAAACACTTGAACCACGGGTGTCCAGCCTTCTTGCAGTACCAGCACGCACCCTCCATTCGGGTGCTCCCCCTGCCACCAGAGCTCCCATGCCCCTCATTGTAGTCACCTCGGCCTCTCCCTCTGCCAAAGCCTCTCCCACGGCCTCGGCCTCTCCCTCCCCCTCTTCCTCTGCTGCCTCCTGCAGCTCCATACCCCTCAGCAGTTTTGTTTGCAGCACCACCTCCCGTGTGGCGCCTGCGGAAGTCCTCTTGCAGAATCTGCTGCCGTAGCCACTCAGGCGTCCATTTGTCCTGCTGAACGTTGAGGGTGGGGATGAGGTTGTCCCACGAGTTGTCGAGCACCGAGATGATCTTGGTGCACTGTTGCATCTGCGACACTTCGCTGCCCGCCGCTGCCATCCTCGCATAGATGTCCCTGATCTTGTCAAGGACCGGTTTCACATCATCTCCCGGTTTCATGGAGAGGGCAGCCAACTCCTTCTCCAACACAATCACCATCGGCAGCGTGTTGGGCTGAATCACGTCGCGTAGCAGCTTCCATGCCTTTGGTCCGGAATCATCCAACTCCACCAAATCTTTGATGTGCTGGAACATGTCGTTGTTGACCGATTGGAGGATGAGGTCGTACAGCACCGCGCTCTTCTCAATCCACCGATCGCGGGCATCTCCTTCCCCCGGCATCTTCTCCTCTCCCATTGCAATTTTCAGTAGCTTGTAGCGCTTGAAGGCGCTCCGCATCCGCCCGCTCCATTCCTCATAGTTGGAGCCATCCAAAGCTTCGATCTTGGATGGTGGCGGTTCACTCCTCTTCTCAGCTGCATCTCCACTCCCTTGATTCATCTCCTCTGCTCCCAATCAGAGGTTTCAGCTCCCCCTTTTGCTGGTCAAAATGTAGATCCACACAATCTTCACAAGTGTCGGCGCCAACGAAATTTCGGCAGAGTTTCCCCTTAGCGGAAGTCACATCCAACCTCCAGAACTCCACTTAGGCACGCCCACAGGCCATGGTGGGTCTATGAGGGTCTTCACACTTCAGTAGACTCTCCACAAAGTCCTTAATCAGCTCTGATACCACTTGTTAGAGATTGAGGACGGAGTCTATGAAGATTAGTAGCCAAAATATCTCAACATCGTTGGGCCTAGTTTCTGAACAGAAAAGTCGAGTTCACAAGAAACGCCGTCGACAAAACGTTCACAGTCAAAACTTCATCAAACTCGAATATGTTGTAGCTCTACTTCGTGGCTACAATTCCCAAGTTGAATCATGCGAAAAGGTGAAGTATTTCTTGAGCTATCAATTTCGGCGCACTAGGGGGTATGCTGCCATAGAATCTTAACTCAATCACAAAGTTCACACAAGTTCACACAAGAGAATTGGAGTAGCACTAAACCAGGTGGAAGGGATGAGGAGGACGAGAGGGAAGGTCCCAAGAGAGTCCCCAACCAAGGAAACCCCATGCCATACAATTCCCTTCCCCATAGGCAACCCAACTTTGACCTTTGTCACTATCCCAACCTCCACAATCCACCTCAACCCAACTTGGCCACACTTGCCAGCCTGGTTTGGTTTCTCCCAACCATTTGGCAGCAACTACAGTAGAAAAGACGAATTTCCCAACCCTCAAAAGTCTGTACCCCATATTGAGTCAACCCCATAACTTCCCATAGTCACCACAACCAAATATCAAAAGCATACGAACTCCAACGTTCGTAACTTTCTTGTTCGTGCTCCGATTGAAGCGATACTTGGTTCCTCGGAAAGCTCTTGAGCAGAGGAGTCACTTCAGATATCTGCTCAAGCCAAATAAAATTCACACACACACACACTCAGAAAAACCAAACCGCACAAAACACAAATTTCTGCACACACTCACAACACGCATGCAACGCACGAACATATGATGGGAGGCAGACAGACGTGAATGTGAATGGTAGCATCACTCAACAGGAACTGCGGTTCCCACTCGCGCCGCGACCGTCGGCCTTCCCCACACAATTCCCCTTCCGCAGGCCGAGCTCCGTGTTTCTCGGTGAGTTGGGGTCTGGGCTGGGGTTACACGAGCCGTTGTTTCTGTCGCATTACGCGCCGTCCCCGCCGCCGGCTGGTCATGACGCACTCCGTCTGCCCCGGCTCCTCTGCTTGGAACTTGTGCAGGACCAGGAGCGAATGGCGACGGGGACACTGGCCCTTGTGGCAGCAACGCTTGCTGGAGCCAGCCAAGGAGTGGTCCCGGGCAACCGGGCATCAGCGATGATCCAAGCCGCAGCGGTGCTGGTCGGGCGCGGAGCCTCGCAGTCTTCCCGCGGGGGACGGGAGAGGCGACGCGGGTCTCAGGGACCACTGTACCATCCTCCTCCCGGACGCGCTCCGTCTGTCCTTCGTCCTCGGCAGAAGCAGGCATTTCGGCGCATGCAGCGTCAGTCTCGTCCCTCCCGCCGCAATCTCCGTGTTGCTCTGCCGGCGCCGCCGGCCTCGTCGTCCACTCAGTCACCCCGGGCATCGCCCGTGTCGGCTCGACCGCCTCCTCAGATGCCGGTTCAACTGTCTCTTCCTCGGGTTCCTGATCCGCCTCTTGTAGCTGATCCTCTGCCTGCTGGTGCACCACCGGATCAGCGGCGGAGGGCGCGCCCGGGCCGCCGCAAGGGACCGCGGCACGAGGCCCCGCGCCAGTCCCTGCTGACACCTCTCCCTCCTCCTGCGCCGGAGCCTCTCCCACCACCAACTCCTGCGGAAGATTCATCGCAGATCCCTCCTCCCCGTCCCGCGACCTTCCCCTGGGAATCATTGCTGCCTGCGGGTTGCTCCGCCTCTCACCCTCGGACCCCGCAACACCGCTGGAGTCGGTGGGAGGAATCCCCCTCGACTGAGCGGGCTCTCCGCGTCGAGCAGCGCGTTGGCCACGTGGAGACTTGTCTGACCCTGCTGGCAATGGTCCTTGACCAGCTTCACGCATGCCAGCAGCGGCTGTCACGTCATGAGGCTGCCCCCCTGGCGCTGTCGCAGCGGGAGCAGGAGGAGGCTGCGGCAGCGGCGATGGAGATGCTCCGGATGCTGCCCCTGATCGGGCTTGTGCCAGGCTCCCCCGAATCCGCGCTGGGGCCTGGCCCTGCTTCGTTGAGGCGGCTTACACTTGCCGCCTTGCAGGCCCCCCAGGACATTGTGCCTGCCGCCGCGTCCGTGTTGCGGTGGATGGACGGGCGGCTCTGTTGGATCCTGGCCGAGTAGCAGCCTCTTTTCCCTTGCCTGGTTGTTTCGCCCCTGATCTGGGCTTGGGCTTCCCCATGATGTGCTGGGGATGTTGTTCTTGCGGCCTTTGTTTACTGTCCCATGTTGAATCGGATGCTGATGTAGTGCTTCTCTCTCTCTCTCTCTCTCTCTCTCTCTCTCTCTCTCTCTCTCTCTCTCTCTCTCTCTCTCTCTCTCTCTCTCTCTCTCTCTAGTGGTCCTTGTATTGATATGGCGGCCAAGTACAAGCATGCAGGTCATCGAGGCATATATAGCTAACATGCAAGGCACAAGCACCACAAATCTACAAATCCACTAGGGGCTCAATGACTGCAAAGCAGTCCCCAAGGTGCAGCTCATCTCCAATCCCCCCCACAGGCGGGTTCTCTACCGCCGCAGCCTCCCCAAGTTTGAGCAAAAGGCCCACAGATTGGGCCCTTTGGAGGGCCACTGACCAACGTTGCCTGAACTGGTGCAGGAACTTTGCAGCATAAAATGATTTGGAGTCGGCGTTAAAGTGGCGCCGAGCTGCAGTGTCCGCCATGAGCTTGAGGAAGACCGGCACCTCCGCGCAGGGGCAGCCGTAGGTGTCCACCGCAAGTGGGAAGAACTTCACCGTCTCCGGCAGGGTGGCGTAGTGCTGGATCTTCTTGTCCGCTTGCTCCCTTGCCGCCCAGCCTCTGCCTTTCAGCGCCTCTGGATCCCTAGTGCTAATGGGGTCAGTAATGGTGACGTCGCATACATAGACCGCCCCACTGCTTCTGTCCGTCATCGTGAAGTCCGCCGTCTGTTCCTCAATGGGGCAGTGCGCCGATGACTTGCTGTGGACTATGAACCCCGCGTCCTGGGCCATGCTAATGCAGGCATCGCGCAGCTCATTATGGGTGTTGATGCGATGCTTGCCTGTGCCGCAGCGGAGTAGGTGGTTAGGGAGGCGGGGGTCCGTGATGGCGGTGCGATCGGCGCAGTCACACTTCTTTGGTGTGGAGAAGGGGAGGGCCAGACGGAATCGCACGGCATTAGAGAAGTGTGTGGGCCCTATCCTCCTGTTGGCTGCAATGGGGATAGCAGTCAGCCAATCCCCGGTCCCGTAGCCAGTCAGTGAGTACATCCGTTGCGTATGTCCGCACAAAGGGTTCAGCGCCATCCGTCGAGTCTCCGTGACCTGGACGGCGTATCTGCTTCCATGTACCCTCAGTGCCAATGCGTGTTGGAGCCTAATGTCTGATTGCTCCAGCCGCTCCTTCTCCAGGATCTCCCGTGCGTCCTCCGGTAGAGCCGCTTCGCACTCTGATAGCCATGCGTGGAGAGGCGTGGCAACGTCTGCAGGCAGCAGCATGTGGTCCCGAGCCTGCGTTAAGGCGCCATCCGGGGCGCTATCTAGTGATGCCAGGAAAAGCGCGGCTTGTGTGAAGCTCGCCGCGTACCCGTAAACTCCCTCAATTAGGGGGTCGGTAATGCCTATCCCTCCCAAGGATGGCGGCAGTGAGGCCTGCCCCCAGACACGTGCTTGTTCCGTGCGGCAGGTGGGGACGCGGATGCCGCATGCTGTGAGTAGCGTTGCAAGCAAATCAGTGCCCCACCGACTCCAGGTGTCGTGAGATAGGAGGTGGAGCGGTGTCGTTCTGGTGAGGTATGCCACCCGCCTCGAGATACAGCGGGTGAGCAGTAGCGATGCTACCTGGGGGTCGGTTTTCTCAAGGAGTGGCAAAGGACTTGCCATTTCCCGTAACTGATTCGACAAGAACTGTGACGCCCCGCTGTCAGGGCCTACGAAGCTTCCCAGCAACCGCACGCCGTCCTGGGAAAATGGAACTCCATGCGGCAGCAGATCCTTCACTGCTGCTTCCCTGCTCCAGGCTGCGCATTTCTGCGCGTTGTGTCTTAGCCCTAGGTGCGCCAACCTCTCGGTGAAGTGGTCGAATGCGGCTACAGTGTCCGCCGCCTCACCGAGGAATGGGACATCGTCAGCGTAAGCTAGACATAGCACTTGGGGATATGTCTCAGCAGTGTCGCGAAGTGCTGGGTGTATTCCTGCCGCGAAAAGTAATGGGCCGAGTGGGTCCCCTTGACGCACGCCCCGTTCGCTGGTCAGTGGGTCACATTCAAAATTCGCGTCGAGGTGCAGCTTGGACGGGTTACCATAGGTCAGTTTTACCAGCGGCACTAGTGGCGATAGCCCAGGTTCGTGTAACGCCGTCGCAATAGCTTGTCGGGATATGCTGTTGAATGCGTTCGAGATGTCGGTCTGCAACACGAGGCTGTTGGGTAGCTTGTCCAGATACGCCCGCGCCACGTGGATGACAGCCTCGGCCCCACCTGGCACCGCCACTCCATACTGTAGAGGCAGGAAGTGGTCACGTGCAGCATCGCCCGTGGCCGCGAGGGCTGCCTTGGCTGTCAACCGAGTGATGCATTCGCCAATCGCGATTGGTCGAGCTCCCCCACCAGGTTTGGCCAGTGCTATGAGTCGCGAGGCTGTAAGTAGGTCTGCCACCGGTGCTGGTAGGTTGCCCCCCAAAAGGGTGTTTATCAATGCGTGCAGATGGGTGCTGACTCGCCCGTTCGTGATTGCCGCGTCGCGCATGTGCTCGAAAGTTGATCCCGAAGGGCCGGCTCCGACCCCATTCTCGCACCTTCCCAGTAGTTTGGCTAAGTCAGCGTGCGAGATGGATAATTTTGACTCGGATGTGGGTGGCCACGTCGTTTGTCCTGATTTGGCTGGCGGATGTTTCCGTCGGAGCTCCTCCAGAATTTCTGGGGTTGGTTTGCAGACTGGCGTTGACTCTAATGCCAACACTGCTCGGCGCAGGCTACCGCGTTTCGCCAGGCCCTCGGCTCTGCTGATGACCCCGGTTGTGTCGGGCTGATGACGTGATGGGGCGGGTGAGTTGACTGCGTCAATCGCGTCCTTGTACAGTTGGTCCCACTCGCCACGCTGGAAGGCTCGGAGCCGGGCCTTGATCTGGGGCCAGTTCGGTTTCCGTGGCGAGTTTTGGCGAAGCGTCAGGCGTGGCAGGAAGAAGAGGAGGCGCCAACCTGCCTCTGATTCCGGATTTCGTGACAGGTGGAGTAGCGGGGTCAGTAGCGTAAGCGAAAACAACTGGCACAGGTTTGGCGGTAACCGCCGTGCCAGAGGTGGTTGCCGACTGTCGCAGAGGGCAGGGATATCCCAGTTCGCGATGTCCGCGAACCAGTCCGTCCGCATCGCCAGCTCCTCTGGCGTGAAATAGCGAGGGGGATGTGGATTTTCCCGCACCGCCGTTCTGTCTGCCGCGGCCCGATGTCGCCTGGTGCGGTCCGTCCTCGCTCGTGATGGTGTGGGTGGATTGTCGCCCGTACGATCTGCATCTGACCGTCCACCAGCGGTGTCCAATTGCTCGCCAAGGGACTGCCGCAGTCTTGCTCCCGTTCCCCTCCCGTTCTCCCTTACTCCTTCTCCTTCTGTCCCCTCATCCTCGCTCGAGGGCATGGGCTCCTCTCTATAAGAGGGGTCCGTTCTCTCTTCATCATTATCGAGCCTGTTTAAAGCCCTTCTTGCCTCTGACTGATAGCCGTTCTCCGGCCCTCCTCCCCGTCCTCTAGCAGCTTCTCGCCCTCCGCCTCGCGCTCCTCGGTCTCGCGATGGTGATTGCTGGTGTGACCGATTACTCGCCAATGCGCGCTGGCGCTGCGTCGGTTGTGTTCGAAAAGCCGTCGGCTGCCTCCGGAGCGGGGACCACGGCGACGGGTTCCTTGCCGCCGTCTGCTCCGGAGCCCTCGACAGCAGGCGCTGAAAAGACTCCTCCCCTCGTATCCGCGGTTTCTCACGTTGTAAACGAGGCGGCGCCGTCTGCGTCGGCTGGTGCTCCTCCCGCTCGGACTGTCGCTCCTGCTCCTCCTGCTCCCGTTGTGGCGCCGGCGACGGCTGTTGTTCCCCCTGTCCCTGTCCCTGGCGCTCTTGGTGCACCTGTCGTTTCTGTCCCCGACGAGCTTGCGCCGGCGTCTGCTTTTTCCCCGAAGGTGGCGTCTGCCACCACTGTCGGCCCGGCCCTGATGGTTGCGCCTCCCGGCTCGGATTTGGTGGCTCCCACTCTGTCGCCAGCAGTCCCAGTTGGTGGGCCGTCGCGTCCCCTGTCGTCTGACCGCCGTCTCTCACGGCCTCATTCTCCAACGCCGCAACAGGGGCGCGAGACGTCGCGGCGCCGGCGCAACTCCCCCCGGCGCTATCAGCAACAGGCCCAGTGGCCTGCTCATACTGGCGGCAATGGTGAGACGGGATCTCGCCGGTAAGAGTAGATCTCTGAGGGTGTCACTGAGGTGGGAGCTCAGCACTGTGTTGATTACTTGGTGCAGGAGGACGAAGACTTCCCCGTTGAGCAGCGCAGGGTCGCGGAGGTGTTCAAAACACGTGCCTGACGGTCCCGCTCCAATGCCATTCGGGCACTTAGCTAATACTTCACGAAACTCCTCTGCCGTGATTGAGAGTGATGACGTGTTGTATCCGGTAACCCACCCTGGCGCTGCCTCCCCCGCGTGCGGATGTTTAGCACGAAGTGCAGCGAGCGTCGCAGAAGTTTG